ATGGTAAAGAGGTAACTCCATTTGATAATATCCAACATTTAGTATCTATAGGGCAAAGAGCCTTCTTTTCTGATTCGACCAAAGATAATATATGATCTTTTGACCAGATACCTATATTCTTGGCATAGAATACTTCCTTATCAAAGAGACAATCGTGATAAACTTGGGTCATTGGATCGAAGATCTCAGCTTTGTCTACTAGTTCATCTAAAAGTGATCTACCTAAAGTTGGAAAGTATATGTCAGTAGCCATTTCACTCATACCCTTCTTACTAACCCCTTGTGCTTAGACTTTGTGGACTTGTCTGCTAGAACATAGTGATAAGATTTAGCCTGAATATGATAAGATTCTGTAATCACATTGTCTGGAGTCTCATCTTTAAAAAGATCTATAGTTTTTGAATCGTTAAGATCAAAGATATCAGGCCTCTCTGTCATGTCTTTATATATATCTTCAGTCTCAACAAAATATATAAAAGAATCTGTATCTATATATCCAAGCTTAGCATTGTTTTTATATTTTTCTTTTACATAGCTATACCAAAATTGGTATATAAGAAGCTTGCTAAGATCTAAAACAGATGCACCTACAATTATAGGTTTATTTAAAGTAACGCTAGCCTTTTCCATATATGCTCCTACTAAAGTACCTCCAAGTTGTCTAGCATATTTAAAGAAGGGCTTACGAATTTGATTAATAAATTTCTTTTTATCTTGCTTATTATTCATAGCCATGAGCTTGACATCTTGATACTTATGAATATTTTCCATAGTCTTGCCATAAACTGAATTGTTCATAAGCTTGAAGAAGTCCTTTTCAAAAGCATTCTTGGTACTTTGACACTTTTCTGTATTAAAAGCTATATAGAGAGCAAGCCAGTTAGTCTGATTGAATGATAAGGCTTCTGTAATCTTATCTACTATCATATCTAATTTTACATAGTATTGAAGTTCTTAATAGTGAATAACATAATCATTTCGTGGTCCAAGATAGGGTACTAATTTTTTTGTTGCTGAAAATCGTCCACTATCTAAGCTATCTACAAGCTCTGTAGTATAGGAACACAACATATCTTTACTTACAGCAAGATTCTCTACTGCAGGGGCAAATCATTCAAATAGCTATGAGTTTTTAGAGGAAAGTGTGCTTTAATATTTAAGAAATAACCCTGTTTTAAATTTGGCTTGGTTCTAAGAGCTATAAGAAGAAATTCCTTTTGCTTAATAGGGTTTTCAAGTAAATAATTTCGACTATACTCCCATTTATACTCTCCAATAGGTAAAAACTGACTCATTGCTCAGCCATAAAGATTATTCGTATCAATATATGAAATCCATGTTGTTGGTTTGGATGGGTTAAAAGCTTTACCTATCTTGGGTTATTAGCCTTAAAATATCTTTGACTAGCCATTGATATACTACCATGCTTGGCCTTTTCGATGAAATCATGCATTGCCATATCTGTAAAGAGTTCGATCTTAACTCCTGTCATTTTAAGCATAGCATCTCAAGCTAAAGCTGGTGCAGATACATAGTAACTAGGATCAAGCTCGTAATATTGTATACATGTTTTTCAGAATTAGGTTCAGATATTAGCAAGACAGAGTATATCTGTTTTAAGATAGAGATCATGATATTCATCTAAATTTTTACACCCAAATTCTTTCCATACTTTTTGAGCATGCTTATAGTCTTTTTGGGTAATTTTACCACTAAGTTGACTATGAAATTCGTAAATAGGTGGAAGCTCAGTTTCTATGAATCTGTTATGAGAATCAATATACTCATAGGGGTATACTCCTTTGCGATATACGAGAGTTATTTGTTCTGAAGAGAAGTCTTTATAATGCTGGCTTGTTATTGGATAGTTGTTTCCTAAATTTTTTGTAAGATTGGCCAAGCTATTATTCATAAACTGCATACTATCTATATACTTAAGCTGGCCTTATTTTATTGATTTATAGTGCTCAAAGATCTCAGCTATTACCTTAATCTGATATGCGTTAACAGACTCTTCAACAGACTCACAAACCAAGTGAGAATCATAATCACAAAAGTTATGAAAGACAACTGGAATAGGTGTTTTCTATAGCTCTATTTGGAGTTTGAGGTTACAGGTATTGTGAGCAGGTCCTCAGAACTTACCTGTAATATGGCAATAGTCCTAAACCTTATCATTTTTATCTACATCAAATTTGTCTTTACAAATCCAACAACTATCAGCTTTAGCAAATTTCTTTTTATCTTCTTTAGTCTCAATTCGGTCAGCTTTGATGGCTAAAACTCTATTGATTCGTACTAATTCTTTATCTATTCTTTAGACAAATTCTTGTGTTGCATTTTCTCCTCTATATAGGAAAGGCCCCCATACATCTTCAGTATCGATCCAATAAACAAGATAACTAAAACTATTAGCTTTCTGTTCAGCAAGCTTTCGCATTTGCTCTCCATATGTTTCATTACATTTTTTGTTATCAGCCTCAAAGTCGGCTATAATAACATATGAGGCATTGATCATTCGTCTATAGTTTTTAAACTTCTCAAAGTCATTGACACCCTTGGTAGATAATTCAACTCTTTGGGTGGCTTCTTCTAATCCGAAACAATGCTTTTGGTGATATGCTAAAGATTTTTCTGACTGAAAGCTATGAAAGCACTGATTACAAAGATGTTTTTTGATATGTTTTCCATTATCCTTAAATACTAATCCTTTTGGGTTTTTGATCCAAAGAAAATAGTTTTTTTGTCCGTATTTATTATCCTCAGATTTGGTAATATCTGTAAGAGCCATGAGATATATAATATGTTGTCTATTATAGTTCTTGCTAGCTATTACCGGTTTGGAAGTTGCTGATTCTTCTTTACATTCCCAGACATTGATAGAGATATCAGGATTCATCTCTTCAATCTTATTGAATATACGTGAACAAATAGGAGTGGGCATTGGGATTCCATCTAGTTTAACAACATCCAAATATGGCTTGAGCTTCTTTGCTCAGAAGATTTGTTCAAGATGCTCTGTATGTCCATCCTGGTAAGCAAAATATACTCTTAATGCTCCTTGAAGGCACTTTTCAGAAAGCTTATTTGTTTCTGGATCTATAAGATTTTCATTATCCGGATTGATAGTACACTTTGTATTGGCAAGCTTTTTTGAAGTAGGGATAAAGGATCCTCCATATATTCGTTAGTATGTATAGAATTCTATAAATACTATTTCTAATCGAAGAAGAATTTTACCAAACTCTTCTTTCAAGTATGCCTCAATCTTTTGATTAATTTCTTCAGCCGATCTAGTAATATAGTTGTCTATATCATTTTCTGAAAGAAGTACATACATTTCTCCCTGGTGATATGGATAGTGATAGCTAATTTTATAGTTTTTTAAATTTGTACTATCACCACTTTCTTTATATGTATATTTTATGTATGTAGCATATACAACCAATGCTGATTTTATTTGATCCTTTTTGTGGAGCTCTTCTTTAAGAATGTCTGTAATAGCTTTACATACTGATGCAAATAACTGGGGCATGTATGGGGCATCTGCATACTCTATTGGGTTGTCTTGACGTTTATTAAAAGTATATGCAGAATTTTTAATCGATGGTACTATACCTTCCCAAACTGTCATAGAAGTAAGATTTTGGTGTTGCCTTTCAGAATCAGATCTTTTTTTTAAAAATTCTATACTCTCAAAAGGTGGTTCTTCTTCTACAACCCCATCTTCTACTTCATAAATTGACTGAAAATGCTTCTCTAAAGCATATTTTTTCTCTTGGTCTATAACCTATTGGATAGTAACTTGGGTTGCAGGGCAGTTTCTGAGTCTTGATCATTAACTTGGATTTGGAAAGTTAAATTGGGGGTGCATTGGTTTTTTCTACTTTGATAATGCTGGTGAAGCTTTTGTGAACTTGCTAAAGTTTTTCTATAGCTAATACATTGACGACTTTTTTTATCTTTTCTAACCATAACCTATTAAGTCTAACCTTTAATATATATGTAAACTTTTGCTCAATTAAAAATATTTAATTATAGTACTCTCTATATTCAATTACTTTTTCAAACAGTAAGAAAAAAAATATTATACGATCTAATATATTAACAAGCTTCGGGATAAGGCCCAGAAGTTCGACCGCGCCTTCTCGTGATAAATTACTAAAGAAGTCTTGAATTAGTTGGTATTTATTGTTTTTTAAACTTGCAAAAAAAACTTCTTAAATTTAACTCTAGCTTTTGGATATATATAAGATAACCTTTAAGTCTAACTTTTGATATATATATATTAATTTTAAGTCTAACCTCTAATCTGTAAGTCTATCTTTTGATATTATTTTTTGTCCTAGATTTGTAAGCTTAAAATGGTTATAAAATGGATTCTTAAATATTAAAAAATAATAGTATATAAGAACCTATTCTTTAGTCCTTATAATAGTAATTTGATAAAAAGTTAAGTCTAACCTCAAATCTATAAGTCTACCATGTCCAGCTAAATCTAACCTCTTCGAGGTTAGATTTAGCACTATACTAGCTGATAATGAATCAGCTTTAGAATTAATTCTAGGATATCATTAAAATTGATATGCAATTTAAGCTTGCAATGACGCACAAAAAACACACTCAGACACTCTGTGTCTTTAGTGTTTTTTGGCTATTGCAAGGGCAAGCAAGATAGCATATTTTTTGATATCTTATTTACATATCAAAAGAGGCCAAGAAGGCTATATAAAACGTATTCATTTTTAGGTCTCAAACCCAAATTTAATACCAAAGAAGAGTATTTATAGCTAAATTTGAGCCATAAAAGGTTTAAAATGTAAATTCGATAGTGATTAGAAATAGGCTAGAAGGGTTTAGTAGAAGGTTTAGAAGCCTTCTTGGATACCTAACTGATTTCTGTCCTAGAACTCCCCTTTTGACTCTACTTATGCTTCTATTAAAATTTTTTGTATAAAAAACACCACCTCTTTGCTAATTATCTTGTACAAGAATACTTTTAACTTGCTTTTTAAATATATAAAAAATTTCAGAAACAAAATAGAAACCAGAAAAATCTTGACCTTTATAAAAACCATTACTTATATAGTTATCTTTTCTATTTTCTTCAAAAAGGTTTATATTTTCATTAATTATAAATTTAATACAAATGATTATCAGGAAAAATTTATTTTCTAATTAGATTTAAACATTAATTTTCTTATATTTTTTCATTTTTTACTTTTTTTTGTTAGACTGATTAAAACAAACAAGTTGATTGCTTAAACTATCTTGTAAATATAATTTTAAATAGTATTTTTCACAAAATATAAATTAGATATCAAAGTTATATGTAAAATAAACCTCAAGAAAACCGGGTTATAATTAGAATTAGAATTAGAACAATATAACACTTATTAGTAAAATATTACAAGAAACATTTTTTATTAGGCCACAGAAGGTGGTTTTCTAATTAAAATTTAAAGTTTTTTTTAAGTTATACCTGATTTTGAAATTCGATTGGTCAAAATTACAGGGATGACAATTTTTGCAGAATATCGGTTTTGCAAAACTCATACGAAGAAGTCCCAAATAGTATTACAAATTGTTAACTAAACAACTAACTAGTTGCCAACTTTCCAAATAGTTGGTTTAAAAAAAATTTTAAACAATTAATCAATTAATAATTTAACTAGTATAATTCTATAATATTTTATTAGTCAAGCTAATCT